GCATTGGCCAACACTGGACTTGCCAGACATCTAGTGTAGCTCTAGATAAGTCCAGTGCCCATCTGGCTTGCAGGTGTTAGTCCTGGGAATTTGGGATAGTATAAGAACCCATTTTCCCTTCTTGGCCTCTGTGCCCATTGTCATCTTGTCACTTTTTAGTGAGGAATCTTGCCTGACAGAAGCAAGACTCTCACAAGAGGTCCACTGTCAGACCCTGAGTACTTCAGAAGTACCAGGGAGCTGCAAATGTTAATATGAAAATATTCTTACCACACCTCATAGCTCAGTCTTGAGAGCTGTGACTAAGAATTCACTGTAAAACTGAATTAAAGTTGTATATTACAGCATGAGTACATGTAGAGTAACCTGCTGTAAACCATACACTCAAACTGTAATAACATACAAGAGGTTATGTACTAGTAACAACAAGGCATAGTAAACTTTTGCCTTGTAATGAGTGTATGCTCATGAAGGATAAAGGGTAAGAATATAAAAGATGGTTCTGACCCCCTATACAGGAGGAGGAGAATCTGCATCATCAAAATAAACCTTCAACTGTCTGGATAACTATAAAAGATATTCTAGACTTTCCATATTTTTAGAGAACTCTGAGTCAATTACTATTATAGAATAGTTTGTTGATTCATTCTCATCATAAGAAATTCATCAGTTTCTTTATTTCTTTGGTCTTGAAAGGTGCAAAGCCTGATCCTTTCCTCACTACTTGCTATTTTCTCTTGTTGAGGGGTTTTCAAGAGTGAAATAGTAAGTAGGGGATAAATCCTGAGGCTGGGTGTCAGCCTAGCTCTAAAGAAAAGTGAGTAATATCACATAATTCAGGCTAGCTACTAAGGATATAAGTTGTTATATGTGGATATGTACACAATCAACTTTTGTAAAGCCATATCTGAATATATCAGGCTTAATAAGAAGACAAATCTATTTGTACTTCTCTTCACTGACTCTTATTGGCCATGGCAATCACTCTGGGTGAGATTTTAGTATACACAGTGTGGTGTAACAGGGATTGATTAACCCAGGGTAGAATGAAGGTTATAGAGTGTCCAAGTAGTCAGTACTTGATCCAGAAACATGTCTAAAGTTATATATGAAAGGGATGACAAATCAACTAACTCTTGTTTTATTTCTAGAGGGTGGATTTGTTGAAATATGAAGATATGGGATGTGATAGAGATCTATTATATGTAATAAAGCAAGGAATCAATCAAATAACTCTTATAAAGAAGGTTGATCATGAAAATAGACTTCTAGAAATAAGAACAGACAACTCTACTAATAATCCTTAGATAATAAGAGGGGTATGTTGATTTTATACTTGTTAATATAGTTATCTCTTTTATTGAAGTGGTAAGTGATGATGGGCAATTGCCATGAGTCAAGGGAAGCTCTTTTATAGATGTTCTGAGGCCTAGAAGGTACTCACAATTTTGTGTATTCAATTTAATCCATGCACTTTCTCATTGTAGAGTACTTTTGATTCCTTTATTTCATGATTACAGTAGTTATTGAACTAGTAGTATTAATCTATCTTGTTTGGGCCAATAATAAATCTTTCATTACTCATGGTCAAGGACAGAATTAAATCTGTAGTTTATTTATTGACAAGCTAGATTAGTTCCCTCATGCTTTATTGTATTTAAGTTATTTCTCATGTCAAATTTATATGTACCATGTGTAATACTTTATTTGTACTACTGTACATTGAATGACAGGTTCACATGCATGTGTTTGTCACCCTCGAGGTTGAATTAAATATCAAATAGATGATCTGTCAATGATTCAACTATGTGTAATCCTTTATATTGCTCAAGGATCTGTCAATGATCAACAGTACTGTATTACACATGTCACTAGTACAGCTACAGTACATTTGATGACAGTTCCTTGGTGTAGAACATGTGTTTCATTAATAAAACTGTCATTATTTCAACTGTAGCTCTAAAACTACACTAGCTATTCTGTATTGAAGTTCTACAGTACATTTCTTCAAAATATATTGTTTGTATTGGTACTTAATTAGTTAATAGAGTTATCACTTAACTCTAAAATAAGACTATAGGCTATTTGGTCTTTAGAATCCAAATCTACAATAATATTACACTTAATACTTATCCATTATAAGTGTACATGCTTGTGTAACATGTTTACACATGATTTACAGTGTGACTCAAGTCTTTTCTGTGTTTCCTGTAATATGTAACTATAGTTTATTTTACATGTAGTTTCTGTTACTGTAATAATAACAAGTGGTTTACATATGGTTTACATATGTATTGTTTATAGTAACATGTTCAATCTTATGTTACAGTACTAATTATGACTCCTCTGTCTTAATTGTAATATGTAACTGTATGTAATGTTACATGTAGTTTTCATTTCTGTAATAATAACATGTAGTTACATATGTGTAACATGTGTTTTATTTATGGCTATCTGTTTATGCCTATGTTTACAGTAGTAATTACAACTCTTCTGTCTTAGTTGTAATATGTAACTATATGTAATATTGCACATAGAATCCATTTCTGTAATAATATTCTTCAGTTGGTAAGTAAAGTATTGTGTTAATACTCTTGAAACTGAGTATGAGTTGTAATTGTCCTTGTTAGCACATGGCATTTTGGTGCTCAGGGCTGACACTGGGACTGACTAAAGATAGTGCAAGGTAAGGATTTGCACTGGTCATCACTGGACTACTGATATCTAGTTAGCATAGATTAGTCCAGTGCCTATCTGGCTTGCAGGGAGTAGTCCTGGGCATTTGGGATAGTCTATGAACCCATTTTCATTTCTGGCCTTTGTGCCCATAACTGTTTCCACCATTTTCTAGTGAGGTATCTTGCCAGACAGAAGCAAGGTGCTCACATCCACTAGCTGCAGTCTTTGCTTTGTGAGGTCCTGGCTTCAGTTTGCTGGACTCTCACTTAAAAGTGCAAAATGGAATGTTGTTTGCATCAAAGACTTGGTGAAATCAAGGGTTTCTTCCCCAAATCCTCCTAGTGATGCAAAGCCTAGGAGGCAGATGGGCACTGTGAATCCACTGGGTGAGCAGGAGAACCAGATTTTCTGAGACACAGTGAGAGGGCTGAATCCCAATTTAAGGCTTTACTCAGCTGGCACTAGACACTTTGGTCTTCTTCCTCAATTAGCTCCCTCTCAAGAACCCTAAAGACAAGAGGGAGGATCTTCCTAGTTGAGGGGCCATGTGAACCTTGAAACTCAAGAAAGAGTCAAAAGAAGAGACAAAGTGTGAGTCACCTGCTTCTGTCTGGCAAGTGCCCTCACTACTGGTCTGAGAAAGGTATGGGCACAAAGGCCAAATGTGGTTCACCTGCTTCTGTCAAGCAAGTGAGCTCACTGGTGAACTAGAGAAAGGATGGGGGCACAAAGGCCAAATGTAGTAAATGGGTTCTTGTGCAGCTCAAATGCCTCAGGAACCTCTCCTGAGAGCTAGATGAGTACTGGTCTGATCTAGGGAAAGAACTAGATGTCCACAGGATCAGCAAGGCTTCACACAGACCTTTTATATCCCTGTGCTATCTAGAAGCAACACACTCAGCTTTTATCCTCAACCAAACAGTGCTTTCACTCTTGAGAACCCCTCAGCAAGAGTAAAGCAACTGGGGTATGGAGGAAAGGTGCTAGTGATTAACCTTGGATGAATAATGAAATAAAGCCGCTGATGAAAACCAGCAAGGGAACTAGCACCACCAAGAAAATTGCATCACATAGAGGCATGCTATGTCACATAGCAGGCCAAGATGCGATGCAATAGGTCTATTTTCCAAGGTAGGGACCTTGAAAAATGGTCCATTGTATCACATGAAGACATGCTATGTTACATAGCAAGCTTCCATGCAATGAAAATATGTTGGCAGTGTAGACTACTTCTAGATAGAAAAGAAATCACCAAGGTTAATTTATATCAACCATTAATTGAAGAATCTCAAGAGAAGAGAGTTCAGAATATCCTTAGTGAGGTATTTAGAATGTTGTGGTTTATTTTAATGATGCTTCAGAGAGAGGAAAGTGTCAAGGGAGGTCTGGTCCTCCTTTCATATTCTGAGCCTTCACTCTTCCTTCTCTATCAGCATATTTACTCAGTAGAAGGTAAACCTAACTTGTATATGTAATCTCTTGGTAATAGTGTATCATTACCATTACATTTTATGGCTATGGTTTACAACAGGTTGTATCAGGTATAGCTCTTGAAACTAAGCTATGAGTTGTTTACACTTATGGTTACCTTTGCAGTCCCATGGGACTTGTTGAGTACTCAGGGGCTGACACAAAGAGCCCAAGCTATTTCTATTTGATAGAATAATCACCACACCCAGAGTAGGGTGAATGATTCTATGACTATCTTAGAAGAAGAAAGCTCAGGGAGCACCTTAATAGTGTCTCAAGCTGTTGAAGTGTGTAGTTCTTAATTGATGGTTAAGATTCTCCTCCTGGAGGGAAGACTTTGGGACCTCTTTTTATACCCTGAGTCTTCAATCTTCCTTCACTATAGGCATTCAAAATTCCAGAGGGTTAGCAAAGCCCTTACTGGTTTATCCCATAATAAACTATTTCTTCCATTTATTGTGAGTTACTTTATTTACATTTACACTTTTTCATCTGGTGGATGATACTTGTGTAATGCCATCAGGTGGCTGTATATATGTATCTACAGCTTTTGAGACTGGGCCTGAGGTGTGGTTTAATTGTTACACTACTCATTACATATGTAGTACATATCTTACACTAATCATTACATGTGTTGTGCTATGTATTACACCTATTCCTCCTGTTTACTATGTATGTACATAGCTTCCTTCAGTCTGTGGGACTGTCATGCAGTCCTCAGGGCTGACATACTTGGTTGTACCAGTACAGACTTGCTTGTTGCTCTCTTTGAGTCTGAAGCTTGATCTAGCTTCACACCCAGCTTGACATAGCCAGGTGGGTTGTGTTAAATTATGGATCTTAAAAGATAATGCACAATGCAGGATTTGAACCTGAAACCTCCAGACACTAGGTGGACTCTCTAACCACTGAGCTAAGTACACTTGGGACCTCAAATCCTATGTGTTGGATTACTGTATCACAGCTGCTTGCTGTAACAAAGCATCCCCCCAACAAGAGCCCACCAGATGTATTGCACCCAATGGCTGGGGATGGGTAGAGCAGGTTATGTGTGTCAGGGCTGAGCTACTGGGAGGATGAATGAGAGGAAGAAGGACTAGATAAGGCCTTCAACCTCTAACAAAGAACTGGAAATCTACACAAGTGACACCACCAAGTGTAGACTGCAGTTAGTTGACCCTCTAAGAAGAGGATTTAATCAAGAGCCAACCAACCTTCTTAGCCTGAGCTAGGTTGTTAGAGTTGCTCTTGATTAGGAGATTGCTGAGGTGACCAGTGTTCCTCAGGGGAGATGGGATGGCTCCCTTCCTGGAATCAGGGACAAGAATAGTTTTCTTGGACTACTTGCTTTAAGCTTTCCCTGGATAGTATATTCTAATATTTTACCTTGGGGAATCTCCAGACACCCAACACCCTGTCCATATCAAGGTGACTTTTCAACAAGAGCAGACAAAGAAATTTTTTAGTTCTCTGATTGTTCTCATTTTTCACCCAGAGCCAGCACATGAGCCTTCCCTTTCTGCAAAGTAACTTCCTTTTCTTTTTGCTCAATGCACCATATGCTGAAAAGTGTGTACTGTATGCCTGTGTATCACTGCACAGTTCACAATCATACTGACATTCATGAGCTGACATCATGATGAACATAGATCAGTGACTTGTATTGAATGGACATGAGTGACAAGGGTGGGCTTGAGCCCTTGGGCCACCATCCCCCAGACACTAAGGCACTGGATTTGAGAGGGATTCTGAGGTGATTTCAAACATGACACTGTGTGCTCTCATCAAGTCACCTTCATATGGACAGGGTGCAAGGCAAATCCCTGAATAATGCTAGGATAGATGGCCTATCTGACCTTTATTATTTATAAGAACCTTATATTAATTTTCACCTATTGAACAGTACACTATTGAGCAGATTTCCTTAGGATAATCCTCAATGTTGTGCTTTTGTTCAGTTTGGGTGTTGGTGGTCAAGGTTGGGGAAAAGGGGCTGAGCCCAGGAGCTGAGGAGGGGCTTTATATAGTCTAACCTCAGCTCTTTCCCTCTTCAAAAGGGTTTGTTTGAAACAGGGGTTGGAACAAAGGGGTATCATGCTTATGTGTGATACATGTTTCATCTCCTGTATTGTCAGCCCTGAGCACCAAAGTGCCATGGACTAACAAGGGCAATTACAACTCATACTCAGTTTCAAGAGTATAAACACAATACTGTACTTAACAACTGAGGATTATTATTACAGAAATGGATACTACATGCAAGATTACATATAGTTACATATTACAGCTAAGACAGAAGAGTTATAATTAAGACTGTAACATGCATAAACATGTTACTGTAACTAGTACATATGTTAACCATATGTAAACTACATGTTATTATTCCAGTAATAGAAACTATGTGTAAAATAACCTATAGCTACAAAGTACAAGAAACACAGAAAAGACACAATTTACACTGTAAACTATGTGTAAATATGTTACATGGATGTGTACACTGATAATGGATAAGTAATAAGTGTAATATTATACTGGATTCAGACTCTGCAGGATAAATAACCTATAGTCTCATGTTAGAGTTAAGTGATAACTCTAATATCTAAATAAATAAGAATACAAACAACATATCTTGAACAAATGTACTGTAGAACTTCAATACTGACTAGCTAGTGTAGTTTTAGAGCTACAGTTGGAATAATGACAGTTCCATCAATTAAACATATGTTTTACTCTGAGGAAATTTCATCCAATGTACTGTAGCTGTACTAGTGACATATGTAATACAGTACTGGTAACTATGCACTGATCCTCAAGTAATACAAAGGATTACACAGTGTTGATTTACTGACAGATCAACTGACAGATATGTAATTCAATTACAAGATGGACAGGAACACTCACATGAACCTGTCACATCATGTACAGTTGTATAAATAAGGAATTACACATAGTACATATAGAATACTATTTGAAATACATCAATCCCAAGATTCAATGGGGGAATTAATCCATCTTGTCACCAAACAAACTACAGATGTTTATTCCATCCTTGACCTTGAGTAATAAAAGGTTTGTTATTGGTCCAAACAAGATAGATTAAGACTACTAGTTGAATAACTACTGTAATCATGAAATAGGGAAATCAAATGTACTCTACAATGAGAAAGTCTTTGATTTGAATTGAATACACAAAATTGTGAGTACCTTCTAGGCCTCAGAACATCTATAAAAGAGCATCCCTTTGCTTGTGGTAATTAATCATCATCACTTACCACTTCATCAAAGAAATACCTATACTTAGAAGTATACATTTGAACATACCCCCTTATATTCTAAGGATTATTAGTAGAGTTGTCTATTTCCATTTCTAGAAGTCTAATTTTGTGATCACCCTTCTTTATTAGAGCCATCTGATTAATTTCTTGCTTGATTAAATATCCTAGATCTCTACCACACCCAAATCCTCTACATTTTGACAAATCCACCCTCTAGAAGTAAAACAAGAGTCAGTAGGATTTGTTTCCCCTTTATTCATAACTTTAGATGTGTTTCTGGATCAAGTACTGACTACTTGGACACCCTATAATCTTCAACCACCCCTGGGTTAATTGATCCCTGCTACACTACTGTCACTGCCAACATATTTTCATCACATGGAAGCTTGCAATGTAACATAGCATGTCTTCATGTGATACTATGGACCATTTTTCAAGGTCCCTACCTTGGAAAATAGACCTATTGCATCGCATCTTGGCCTGCTATGTGACATAGCATGCCTCTATGCAATGCAATTTTCTTGGCGGTGCAGTCTACACCTGGGGGTACCAGTAGTGTAGACTTTTAGTTTATAGTTGTAGGTTGAAGGCTTCAAGAAGCCCTTTGACCAATCACTCTAGTCAGGAGCTCAGCCTCACTGTAGCTCAGCCCTGACACAGGGAAGGGCCTTAGCAGTTAAACTCTCATTCACCATCATTTTATAGTCATTGCTATTACTTTTATATTAGTGTTGCTATCAGTTGGTCCATCAAGAGGATTGTGTCAAGACATTAGAATAGTTATGTTAAAGATAATAGCTTTACAGTGAAGTCTCTTACAGATAAGAGTAAAATCCTCTGATCCTTACAATTATGTCTCTTGAGCATCTCTCACTACCAGTCTCCTTCCTCTCAACTTGCAATCATTTCCTTCAATAGTAAGTGATTCTCTCTCTTATGGTATTACCCTTGCTTTGAAACCCCTCTTCCTTTTACCTACCCAGTTTCTGTTAGATTTATTCTAGAGATCCCACAACATGCTTGACAAATTTGACAGGTCACATTGTAACACTTTCCCTACTCCTCTTCCTGCCTCTGTTGAGTTGGCTCTGGGTTCTGTTGACAAAACACATGCTGCTGCTCATTTTCTTTATCAACAAGCCATCTATTGTCTCAACTGGGCTGCCATCCACACTTGTCCCAATCTGCAACATGCTGTATCCAACCTTGCTTGTTTCTCATCAAAGTATACCACAAGACATTGGAAAGCTGTCAAGCATCTTCTGTGTTATGTGACAGAAAACAGAGAATGAACTTTATTCAGTTCAATCCAGTGTTATACCTAACACTCTTGAGATCCTCACTTTGTTCAATTACAGAGAAAAGCAATTGACAGGGAAAAGAATCAGATCTCAAAGTGGTTGGTCTCTGTCAGGTATATGGACATGCTTGTGGGGATTAAGTCTTAATGAGTGAGATTTAGAAAAAGGATGAATAGGGTTTGAAAAGCCACAAATACAGATGTGGGAGTGTGCCAGGAAAAAGAAAAAGAAAATTAAATAAAATGAAAATTTTGATATTATGTTCAAGACTTTATCAGGTGGTGTTTTGTTTGGTTTCCACACCTTAGACCCTTTTGGACTACAAGCTTGTGCTGATGTTGATTATGCCACATGTACTGGCTCCAGATGCGCTACCACTGGATATGTTTTTACACTTGGAAGAAACCTGGGCTTATGGAAAAGGTTTGTCAAATCACAGTTGCTCTATCCACAACTGAGGCCAAGTACATGGCACTTGGTGGCTGTGCAAACCAATGTTCATGGTCTTTGTCAAATGGTTTCTTATTTATTTTGCAAAAGTCTCCATGTTTCCTCTGTTCATCTTCTCCCTACAAGCCTTTGTCAACAACAACAATAACACAGTTCTTCAATCACAGAAAGCCACCTCCAATGCACAAACCAAGCACATCCACATATGCCATCATTTCCTACCAGAAATCATTCTCAACTCCCAAATTTCCACCAAAAACATCAACACAAAATCAATGCCTGCCGATTTCCTTACCAAAAACCCACCTAGAGACATGTTGAATTGATGTAGTTTCTGATAGGAAAGATAGCCCCCAATGAGCTATCACAAATCACAGCCAACAACCTTCCCTCTAGTAAGAATGACACAACTCTTTCTGGTGAATGAGTGTTGAGCAGGGGGGATGTTGAGGTATATACATGTATCCACTTTAATTTTACTCAACACTCATCCGCCTTCACATCTCCTTCTCTCCAATCTGAGTAACATGAGTTTTCCCTTTGTTTACTACCTTTGTATTTCAGTCATAAGTGTGTTTTGTTCAGTTGTGAGTGATGTGACCAAGTTGTAGTGTTACAGTTCAATCATTGACCCAACTTCTGTGCCTTCGCATACAACGACTCCACTACGCTTCCGATCTGCTTCAAAGTCTCTAAAGTATCTTCATACATTTTTTCCTGTACGACTTCCTCAAATACCTCCAAACATCCCTCGCCTTGATCTAGGATACCAGCAAAGACCTTATCGAGGATCATCTGCGAGAGTTTAGCTTCAACATCTCGGAGTGGAAGCTTGACTTCTTGAGCGATGAAACCCAGTTCCAGTCGAGAGTAGGGCTCGATGATCCTAAGCAAGTT